AAACACAAGACACAGAACCAGGGTGCACACACACCATTTGTACCCGGGAATAGTGTTCAAAACCATATCATCAGAGGGCAAGCTATCTATAATTCACTTCAACAGCAGAAGCATGTACGCAAACTTTAATCTCATCAAGGAACATTTAAATCAGTTTCAACAAACATTTAGCATCATTGCCACATCTGAAACCTGGATCACGGAGGACAAAGGCACAGACTTTGAGCTGGAGGGCTATGAACATATCAGATACATGAATAGACAAAACAAGGGTGGAGGAGGAGTAGCCTTGTATGTGGACAATACTTTAAAATGTAAGGTGATGAATTATATGCCAACAGTGATTGGTAATGTATTGGAATGTATCACGATTGAAATCATCAGTTGTATATATAGAGCACCCGGCTCTAGTATTGAGATTTCCATCAAGGACTGGATGGAGGAAATATTCTCAAAAGTGATCAATAAACAGTTTTCATTTGTGGTGACTTCAATATTGACCTTCTAAATCCAATTTATCAACACAATGTACAGTATGAGTTTATATCCAAAAGTTACTAGACCCAGCAGAATCACATCGCACTACTCTCACAATATATTCACAAATGACATAGAAAGCAATACAGGAAGTGGACTCTTAATAAATGATATAAGTGACCACCTCCCTGTGTCTTTATGACAGAAACTATAGTAATAACATGCCGGACAAAGCTATTCAATACAGACGAGTTCGATCAGAGGAAGCACAAAGATGGGATGATTTATACAAAGAGAACAATATTCACAGTGCATTTATCATTATATAATACATACTGCCCAATTGTCAAATACAGTAGAAAAATGAAATATGCAGAATGTCCATGATCCATAGACTGTATATATAAAGCCATGATCCATAGACTGTATATATAAAGCCATGATCCATAGACTGTATATATAAAGCCATGATCCATAGACTGTATATATAAAGCCATGATCCATAGACTGTATATATAAAGCCATGATCCATAGACTGTATATATAAAGCCATGATCACAAGGGGTTTACAAAATGCCTGTAAGAAGAAAAATTCATTGTATAGAGATTTCATTCGAAATACAACAAAAGAGACAGAGATTAGATATAAAAAATATAAAAATAAATTAACAATTATAATAAGGACCTGCAAAAGTGAATACTATCGGAAAATACTAGACAAAAATAAATACAACATTAAAGGAATATGGAGCATACTGAATAGTATCTAGAAAAAGGAGTTATCCTACGTACTTCATTACAAGGATAAGGAAGAGGAACACATGGATGTTGTTTCCAACAGTTTCAATGATTTCTTTGTAAATGTTGGACCTGAATTAGCAGACAAAATCCCTGATGGAGGAACATCAGAAAACAAGCTGGAAAACTTAATCCTTTCTCAATGTTCCTCACAGCAGTGCATGAAAGGGAAGTAGTTGATATTGTAACGAAATGTAAAAACAAAAAATCTACCGATTGTGATGACATTGACATGACTGTATTAAAAAAGGTTATAGATGTTATTTCAAAACCATTCACACACATACTTATCATTCCAAACTGGTGCATTTCCTAACAAAATGAAAATAGCAAAAGTCATACCTTTGTTCAAAGCTGGGAACAAACTTCACTTCACAAACTACAGACCGGTCTCACTTCTACCACAAATCTCAAACATTCTTGAAAAGCTTTTCAATAACAGTCTGGACAATTTCATAGAAAAACACAAACTTCTCACCGAAAGTCAAAATGGATTCAGAGCCAATAGATCAACATCGATGGCTTTAATAGACTCACTTGAAGAAATTACTAGCTCAATTGAAATATTGGAATATTCATTGACCTAAAAGAAGCATTTGACACAATTAATCTCGACATATTAATAAAACAACTGGAACGTTATGGAATCAGGAGTTATTGAACCAACAGGCAACAGTTTGTGAAGCTGGGAGAGTGTTGTTCTTCATATTTGGACATTACATGCGGTGTCCCCCAGGGGTCAGTATTGGGGCCGAAACTATTTATTATGTATATTAATGAAATATGCAATGTATCGACAGTACTCAAGTTTGTTTCGTTCGCTGATGACACTAATATATTTTGTTCTGGGGACAATGTACAGCTACTATTGGAAGAGATCACAGCTGAAATATGCAAACTAAAGTTATGGCTAAACAGTAATAAGTTATCATTAAACTTGAATAAAACAACATTAATTATAATTGGAAATAGCAATACACAAGCATCCTTTAAGATAGATGGGATTTTCATTGAGAGAGTTAAAGAACATACATTCCTTGGAATCACAATTGATGAGAAACTGAGCTGGAAACCACATAAAACATATTCACTCCAAAGTCTCAAGAAGTATTGCAATATTAAACAAGGCAAAACAGATTCTTGATCAAAATGTCCTCTACATTCTTTACTGTTCATTGGTTTGACCTTATTTAAGTTACTGTGCAGAGGTTTGGGGCAGTCATTATAAAACTACAACACAATCCCTATTTATTCTACAAAAAAGAGCAATAAGACTTATTAAAAATGTCGGCTATAGGGATCATACAAACCCATTATTCTTAGAGCTAAAATTATTAAAACTGTCAGGTCTTGTTGAATTCCAAATCGCACAAATCATGTTTTACGTTTAATGACCTGGGAATATTCAGATATTGTTCAATGAAAGACAAGGGGGTTCATTTATATTCACTAATGTTAGGGTGCGCACAACAAAGAGACGTTTCTGTTTGTGGGGTGAAGATCTGGAACAATGTGAGTGAGGAGCTAAAGGGATGTCCAAACATCAAACTATTCAAAAAGAGGTATGAACACACCATTCTCTCAAGGTACACGGATACAGGGATACAACTGCTAAACCATAACTGTTTATATTCTTGTTCTGTATTCTATTTATGAATTTGTGTTTGTATGAATTTGTGTATGTACATATGTATATATATAAATATATAGAGACCATTCTCCTAACTTGCCTGTATATATTATATGAATGATTATATAAATTATTCAAGATTATAAGTATACATTTATATTGTATGTTAACATATATTAAGATGTAAAAAAAAAAAAAGGGAGAAGGGGTCGGATTAAATAAATGTAAACTTCTTCCGACCCCTTTTCGGACGTGTAATTAGCTAAAGCTTTGTTGTTTATTGATATCAGACAATGATACTACAGATTATTCAATTATTAATTAAATGTATCGTTTTGTTATAGCATTCATTTGTATAGTACTGTATCATGTCTGTATCACCTTTTGTTTCATTTGTATTTTCTTTGGTTTTACACGCTCGAAAAATAAATAAACTAAACCAATGACGTCAGCGTCAGTCGAGCTCGCCCACATGCGGACAAAATATGTGAAGCAGCTTCACAGGAAACAGGAAGCAGCTTCACAGGAAACAGGAAGCAGCTTCACAGGAAACAGCTTCACAGGAAACAGGAAGCAGCTTCACAGGAAACAGGAAACAGCTTCACAGGAAACAGGAAGCAGCTTCACAGGAAACAGGAAGCAGCTTCACAGGAAACAGGAAACAGCTTCACAGGAAGCAGCTTCACAGGAAACAGGAAGCAGCTTCACAGGAAACAGCTTCACAGGAAACAGCTTCACAGGAAACAGGAAACAGCTTCACAGGAAACAGGAAGCAGCTTCACAGGAAACAGGAAGCAGCTTCACAGGAAACAGGAAACAGCTTCACAGGAAACAGGAAGCAGCTTCACAGGAAACAGCTTCACAGGAAACAGGAAGCAGCTTCACAGGAAACAGGAAGCAGCTTCACAGGAAACAGGAAGCAGCTTCACAGGAAACAGGAAACAGCTTCACAGGAAACAGGAAACAGGAAGCAGCTTCACAGGAAACAGGAAGCAGCTTCACAGCTTCACAGGAAACAGCTTCACAGGAAACAGGAAACAGGAAGCAGCTTCACAGGAAACAGGAAGCAGCTTCACAGGAAGCAGCTTCACAGGAAACAGGAAGCAGCTTCACAGGAAACAGCTTCACAGGAAACAGGAAGCAGCTTCACAGGAAACAGGAAACAGCTTCACAGGAAACAGCTTCACAGGAAACAGGAAACAGCTTCACAGGAAACAGGAAGCAGCTTCACAGGAAACAGGAAGCAGCTTCACAGGAAACAGCTTCACAGGAAACAGCTTCACAGGAAACAGCTTCACAGGAAACAGGAAGCAGCTTCACAGGAAACAGGAAACGAGTCGAAGCGTTTCTTTATTCTTCTCTTTATTTCAATTTTTTGCAAAGGTACAAACGGCTGTAAAATGTATTTCCCTGAAACGCGTCAGGATTAAATTCAGAGAGTAGGAAATATAAATACTCGCAAAAATCATCACACGGTGGTAAACCCCCCCCCCCCAGACTTTACAAAACAAAGCATTAAAAAACCTCTCGTCCAAAACACTGAGAAACACTTTGACACCCCCACAATAATGGTACGGTCCATATTCTCAAATACCATAGAGAGGAGGAGGAAGAAGAGGAGGGGGGAGAGGAAGAGGAGGAGGAACTGCAGGAGCGTTCCTGAACGCAGCCTCTGAGAGAGGTTCACTGACCGTGGGAGATCCAGCTCCCTGTGAGGACTCTTAAAGGGACAGTACACCTCTCACTGAGCCGTCTCTAGAGAGAACAGAACATGAACACGCTAACAACACGTGATGATGATGATGATGATGTCACTGTTAAAGGGATTCTGGAGAATAAGGTCTTTTATCCGTTTAAGAAGTCGAGATGTTGGAAACGTTTTGTCAAAGAGGAATGGAGATCGATGAAGAGGTGTGATGTCATCAGGCGTCTCCTCAACGACAGCCAGCAGCTTGAAGTCAACACACACACACACACACACACACACACACACACACACACACACACACACACACACACACACACACACACACACACACACACACACACACCACACACACACACACACACACACACACACACACACACACACACACACACACACACACACACACACACACACACACACACACACACACACACACACACACAACAGAGGGGGGGTCCCTTCCCGCGGGGGGTCACTTCCTGTTATTTGAGCAGAGCCTTGTAGAGCGTGAGGGATCTGGCGGTGATGCGGTCGGTCTCCAGGCAGAAAATGAAGTCCCTGAGATTCACTCTGGTGATTCGCTGTCGCAGCTGTTGCCGTGACGACGAGGATCCGGGGGAGGAGCCTGGGCCAGACACCACCTGGGGGGGGGGGGGGGGGCGTTGGACATGTAAACAACATGTTGCTGTGACGCAAACATTTAGCAAAAATAATGAATAAAAGCCCTACAATACACACAGGCGCACACACAGAGGTACACACACAGGCGCACACACACCTCGGGGGCGGAGCTTCCTCCCGGTGAGTCCATCTTTTTCCTCTTCCTCGGTCCGATGGCAGCGAGCGCTGTCAGGTTAGCGTCTCGCTGCCTCATCTGAGCTAACTCATTCTGCTGCATCTGAGAGAGACATCAGAGAGTAAACACTCAGTTAAACATATATACGAGTGAATGTGAAGCTTCGTACCTCCTTAGCTTTCAGCTTCAGACGCGCCTGCTCCGGATCCTCCTGTCGAGCTCGACTCTGAAACACAAACCAGTCAAGAATTATTATCATGTTTTTGATACTGAAGTTCTTCTGCTGAGACAAAAACTGTGTGTGAGGAATATCTGATGGAAATCTAAAGATTCTGACTTTTTCCCTGAATTCCTACTGTGTGTGTGTGTGTGTGTGTGTGTGTGTCTGTGTGTGTGTCTGTGTGTTTGTCTGTGTGTGTGTGTGTGTCTGTGTGTCTGTGTGTGTGTCTGTGTGTGTGTCTGTGTGTGTGTGTGTGTGTGTCTGTGTGTGTGTCTGTGTGTGTCTGTGTGTGTGTCTGTGTGTGTGTCTGTGTGTGTGTGTGTGTGTGTGTGTGTCTGTGTGTCTGTGTGTCTGTCTGTGTGTTTGTGTGTGTCTGTGAGTGTGTGTGTGTGTGTGTGTGTGTGTGTGTGTGTGTGTGTGTGTGTCTGTGTGTGTGTGTGTCTGTGTACCTTGGCAGCCTTCAGCAGGATCTCTCTCTCTTGATCGTCCTTCCTCTGTTTCTCCAGCCTCTCCAGATGCTCGAAGAACCGGAGCTGAGAGCGAACGTCTGACATACACTCCTGCTCGTCCTCCTGCAGGAGCACACACACATTACATATAACACACACTGTGTACCTGTGTGTGTGTGTGTGTGTGTGTGTGTGTGTGTGTGTGTGTGTGTGTGTGTACCTTCCCCCCCTCACTGCGGTGCTGAGCGATGCTGCTCACTTTCTCCAGCAGAGCTCTCAGTCGGGCCTGAGTGGCGTGAGAGATCAGAGCCACCACCTCCGGAGGAACCTCCAGGACCCCCTGCTGCTTCGCTGAGAACACACATCACACACACACATTACAGATCTACACACACACACACATTACAGATCCACACACACATTACAGATCCACACACACACACACACACACACACACACACACACACACCTGAGTCGAGGATGCGTTTGAGCAGCGGTCCTGGGGGCAGGAAGGCTTCGTCTTTGCAGGATCTGATCTTGGTTCCCACGAGCTCCGAGCTGGTGGCGAGGATCCGGGCGTTCTCCTCGTTCAGGTTCACGCCCGCCATGGACGCCACGTCGTTGATGTCATCGTCGTCTCTGGGGGGGGGGAGGAGAGGGGGGGGAGGGACAGAGTCAGGACACTGGTCTGGGATCTGTCAGAAGATGTCTCTAATAAGAGAAGAAGGACTTTATGTTTGCAAAAAAGAGAAATGAAAACACTGGAAATAAACAATCCAACATATTTCTGAAATAGAAATAAAATAGTTATCGTCGTCGTGTTGGTTGTCGTCGTCGTGTTGGTCGTCGTCTTGTTGGTCGTCGTCGTGTTGGTTGTCGTTGTCGTGTATGTTGTCGTCGTCGTGTATGTTGTCGTCGTCGTGTATGTTGTCGTCGTCGTGTATGTTGTCGTCGTCGTGTATGTTGTCGTCGTCGTGTATGTTGTCGTCGTCGTGTTGGTTGTCGTCGTCGTGTTGGTTGTCGTCGTGTTGGTTGTCGTCGTGTTGGTTGTCCTCGTCGTGTTGGTTGTCCTCGTCCTGTTGGTTGTCGTCGTCGTGTATGTTGTCGTCGTCGTGTTGGTTGTCGTCGTCGTGTTGGTTGTCGTCGTCGTGTTGGTTGTCGTTGTGTATGTTGTCGTCGTCGTGTTGGTTGTCGTCGTGGTGTTGGTTGTCGTCGTCGTGTTGGTTGTCGTCGTCGTCGTGTTGGTTGTCGTGTATGTTGTCGTCGTCGTGTTGGTTGTCGTCGTCGTGTTGGTTGTCGTCGTCGTGTTGGTTGTCGTCGTGGTGTATGTTGTCGTCGTGGTGTTGGTTGTCGTGGTGTTGGTTGTCGTCGTGGTGTATGTTGTCGTCGTCGTGTATGTTGTCGTCGTCGTGTTGGTTGTCGTCGTGTTGGTTGTCGTCGTGTTGGTTGTCGTCGTCGTGTTGGTTGTCGTCGTCGTGTATGTTGTCGTCGTCGTGTTTGTTGTCCTCATCGTCGTGTTGGTTGTCCTCGTCGTGTTGGTTGTCGTCGTCGTGTTGGTTGTCGTCGTCGTGTTGGTTGTCGTCGTCGTGTTTGTTGTCGTCGTCGTGTTTGTTGTCCTCATCGTCGTGTATGTTGTCGTCGTCGTGTTGGTTGTCGTCGTGTTGGTTGTCGTCGTCGTGTTGGTTGTCGTCGTCGTGTTGGTTGTCGTCGTCGTGTTGGTTGTCGTCGTCGTGTTGGTTGTCGTCGTCGTGTTGGTTGTCGTCGTCGTGTTTGTTGTCCTCATCGTCGTGTATGTTGTCGTCGTCGTGTTGGTTGTCGTCGTGTTGGTTGTCGTCGTCGTGTTGGTTGTCGTCGTCGTGTTGGTTGTCATCGTCGTGTTGGTTGTCGTCGTCGTGTTGGTTGTCGTCGTCGTGTTGGTTGTCGTCGTCGTCGTGTTTGTTGTCGTCGTCGTGTTTGTTGTCGTCGTCGTGTTGGTTGTCGTCGTCGTGTTGGTTGTCGTCGTCGTGTTGGTTGTCGTCGTCTTGTTTGTTGTCGTCGTCGTGTTGTTGTCGTCGTTGTGTTGGTTGTCCTCGTCGTGTATGTTGTCGTCGTCGTGCTGGTTGTCGTCGTCGTGTTGGTTGTCGTCGTCGTCGTCGTGTTTGTTGTTGTTTGTGGAGCAGCTGTTCTCCGGTGTAGAGTGTTTCTATATGATCTCTGTTGCAGAGGAGAGGACTGGCTTCCTGACCGTCTACTTTATGTGCAATGCCTTGTTTTAATATGAGGGGGGGGGTCAGGTGCCTTGTTTTAATATGAGGGGGGGGTCAGGTGCCTTGTTTTAATATGAGGGGGGGTCAGGTGCCTTGTTTTAATATGAGGGGGGGTCAGGTGCCTTGTTTTAATATGAGGGGGGGGTCAGGTGCCTTGTTTTAATATGAGGGGGGGGTCAGGTGCCTTGTTTTAATTTGAGGGGGGTCAGGTGCCTTGTTTTAATATGAGGGGGGTCAAGTGCCTTGTTTTAATATGAGGGGGGTCAGGTGCCTTGTTTTAATATGAGGGGGGGGTCAGGTGCCTTGTTTTAATATGAGGGGGGGTCAGGTGCCTTGTTTTAATATGAGGGGGGGTCAGGTGCCTTTTTAAATTACTTTCTTTAGATTTGTTTGAGTTTTTAAAATGTTTTACACAACATTTGCATTTTATTTAATTCTTCCGAGTTTCTTGTTATTTAAATTGATTTAGTTTTACGTTTTAATTGTGGTTTTAAATAAAGTTTCATATATTTTATTTATTTTATGTTCTTTATTCAAATGTGTGCTTTAATGATTTAATTTTCTTTTAACTCTTGTTTTTCAATGTTCTACATTTGATGGTATTATTTCCTCTTCATGTTAACACGTATTTGACTGTCATTGTGTTGTAATGCCTCTATAATAAATAGGTTACCTGAAAGTCCCGCCCCCAGGGTCGCTCAGCTTCCTCTGATTGGCCGGAGCCACATTCAGCGGACTCCTACCTATGATGGTGGTCGGTCCTCTGATGAGCGTACCTGAGAGGAGAGAACGCTCTGAGACACTGAACCAGGAACTAATTAAATAAATCACTAATCAATATGTGTACCTTGAGGTCGGAGCGTCTGATTGAAGACGACGGGCGATCGAGCCGGGACCCCCGCCCGGACCCCCACCTGAACATTCACACCACACGGCAAAGTTAAAGGGGACCTATCATGCAAAATGCACTTGTGTACGTCTTTTCTACATGAATATGTGTCCCCGGTGTTCCAGGGAACTCACCAAGTGTCAGAAAACACAACCCTCTCTATTTTCCTCCATACCCAAATCTCTAAAAAAGGGGCTGCAACGGATCTGATAAAAACTGATCCAGATTTGAACACTGTCCTGACGTCAGGACGGTGGCGCTACGGCTATTGGGCCAACTCTCCACCTATCAGGGGAATGTGGGGTTGGGCCACGGCCATTGCCGCTCGAAAGCGCTGGAGACGCTGTAGTACATATGCCAGGCCTGTAAGTGGCGCTGTAGTCTGCCACAAAAGCAGCGAAGAAGACTTCCCGCCCATAGTTACCATGGTTACCCTTCTGTTTATTCTCCGCTGTGGCTTTCTTTCTCCCTCCCCGAGGCAAGCGTTTGCTCCCGCTGCTTTAATTCAATGCAATCCCTCCCCGTCGAGGCAAGCACTGTAATTCTCTCCGGTTAGTCCACCAGCAGATGACAAACACCCACCAGTGTGTGTGTGTGTGAGAATGTGAGTGTTTCGGTGAGTGTGTGTGAGTGTGAATGTCTGTGTCAGTCTGTGAATGTGATTGTCAGTCTGTGTGTGTGTGTGTGTGTGTGTGTGTGTGTGTGTGTGTGTGTGTGTGTGTGTGTGTGTGTGTGTGTATGCGAGTGTTTCTGTGTGTGTGTGTGTTTGTTTCTGTGAGTGTGTGTGTGAGTGTGAGTGAGTAAGTGAGTGAGTGTGCGTGTGTGTGTGAGTGTGTGAGTGTGAGTGAGTGAGTGTGCGTGTGTGTGTGTGTGTGTGAGTGTGTGTGTGTGAGATCGTACCAGCGGGGTGTTGAGGCGTACCGTGGTGGCGCCGGGGCTGATGGGTAGTCTGGGTCTGATGGAGGTGGAGATGATGGGGGGGGCGGAGGTGGAGGCCATCAGGTTCTGCTGGTTGGTGAGCAGAGACTGACGCAGCGAGGGGAGGCTTTTCTGGGGAGGGACATCATCCAATCAATCAATAACACATCATCCAATCACAGGGCTGAATACTCCACTCTGATTGGTCCTTTCAGAGGTAGTTAACACTGGACAGCGCTGCTGATCTGCAGCACCTGGAGTCTTATAAAGCACTTTGAGCACCAGGAAAAGCGCTTTATAAATCAAATGTATGATGATGATGATGATGATGATGATGATGACCTGGAGTCACAGACAGATAGAGGACGCCTTCCCTGCAGTAACTCTCTATCTCAGACCTCCTCTGCTCCTCTGATAACTGGACTCTGAGGTCGCATTCACACCTTGTATAGTCCGGTGTGTTACCCCCTTGGTGCGGTTCGTTTGGGTCGGTGTGAACGCAGACCTCTGAACTAAACCAGCAGACTCTGGTCCGCCTACAAGAGGTGGTCTCGGACCGCTTGCTAGTGAACTCTGGAGCGGTTCATCGCTGGTGTGAACGCAGTCAGAGGCAGAGAAGTGACTATAGGTGTGAATGCAGTCAGAGAGGCAGAGAGGCAGGGAAGTGACTATAGGTGTGAACGCAGTCAGAGAGGCAGAGAAGTGACTATAGGTGTGAACGCAGTCAGAGGCAGAGAAGTGACTATAGGTGTGAATGCAGTCAGAGAGGCAGAGAGGCAGGGAAGTGACTATAGGTGTGAACGCAGTCAGAGAGGCAGAGAAGTGACTATAGGTGTGAATGCAGTCAGAAAGGCAGGGAAGTGACTATAGGTGTGAATGCAGTCAGAGAGGCAGGGAAGTGACTATAGGTGTGAATGCAGTCAGAGAGGCAGAGAAGTGACTATAGGTGTGAACGCAGTCAGAGAGGCAGAGAAGTGACTATAGGTGTGAATGCAGTCAGAGGCAGAGAAGTGACTATAGGTGTGAATGCAGTCAGAGAGGCAGGGAAGTGACTATAGGTGTGAATGCAGTCAGAGGCAGAGAAGTGACTATAGGTGTGAACGCAGTCAGAGAGGCAGAGAAGTGACTATAGGTGTGAATGCAGTCAGAGGCAGAGAAGTGACTATAGGTGTGAACGCAGTCAGAGAGGCAGAGAAGTGACTATAGGTGTGAATGCAGTCAGAGAGGCAGGGAAGTGACTATAGGTGTGAATGCAGTCAGAGGCAGAGAAGTGACTATAGGTGTGAATGCAGTCAGAGGCAGAGAAGTGACTATAGGTGTGAATGCAGTCAGAGAGGCAGGGAAGTGACTATAGGTGTGAACGCAGTCAGAGAGGCAGAGAAGTGACTATAGGTGTGAACGCAGTCAGAGAGGCAGGGAAGTGACTATAGGTGTGAACGCAGTCAGAGAGGCAGAGAAGTGACTATAGGTGTGAATGCAGTCAGAGAGGCAGAGAAGTGACTATAGGTGTGAACGCAGTCAGAGAGGCAGAGAAGTGACTATAGGTGTGAATGCAGTCAGAGAGGCAGGGAAGTGACTATAGGTGTGAATGCAGTCAGAGGCAGAGAAGTGACTATAGGTGTGAATGCAGTCAGAGAGGCAGGGAAGTGACTATAGGTGTGAATGCAGTCAGAGGCAGAGAAGTGACTATAGGTGTGAACGCAGTCAGAGAGGCAGAGAAGTGACTATAGGTGTGAATGCAGTCAGAGAGGCAGAGAAGTGACTATAGGTGTGAATGCAGTCAGAGAGGCAGAGAAGTGACTATAGGTGTGAATGCAGGCAGAGAGGCAGAGAAGTGACTATAGGTGTGAATGCAGTCAGAGAGGCAGGGAAGTGACTATAGGTGTGAACGCAGTCAGAGAGGCAGAGAAGTGACTATAGGTGTGAATGCAGTCAGAAAGGCAGGGAAGTGACTATAGGTGTGAATGCAGTCAGAGAGGCAGAGAAGTGACTATAGGTGTGAACGCAGTCAGAGAGGCAGAGAAGTGACTATAGGTGTGAATGCAGTCAGAGAGGCAGGGAAGTGACTATAGGTGTGAATGCAGTCAGAGGCAGAGAAGTGACTATAGGTGTGAATGCAGTCAGAGAGGCAGGGAAGTGACTATAGGTGTGAACGCAGTCAGAGAGGCAGAGAAGTGACTATAGGTGTGAATGCAGTCAGAGAGGCAGGGAAGTGACTATAGGTGTGAACGCAGTCAGAGAGGCAGAGAAGTGACTATAGGTGTGAACGCAGTCAGAGAGGCAGAGAAGTGACTATAGGTGTGAATGCAGTCAGAGAGGCAGGGAAGTGACTATAGGTGTGAACGCAGTCAGAGAGGCAGAGAAGTGACTATAGGTGTGAATGCAGTCAGAGAGGCAGGGAAGTGACTATAGGTGTGAATGCAGTCAGAGAGGCAGGGAAGTGACTATAGGTGTGAACGCAGTCAGAGAGGCAGAGAAGTGACTATAGGTGTGAATGCAGTCAGAGAGGCAGGGAAGTGACTATAGGTGTGAATGCAGTCAGAGAGGCAGGGAAGTGACTATAGGTGTGAACGCAGTCAGAGAGTAATTCAACATGTATTTTTTCTACTGTTTTTTTAATGCTATTTTATTTCAATTGACATGTTTACATTTTGGATTGTTTATTTCTACTCTTTTAATTGATCTGATGTTCAACGCCTTGTCTTTTGATGCAATGCAAACATTTCCCACATTGGGATCAATAAAGTGATCAGTGATCTCCTCTCACCTTGAGGAAGGGGATGAGGTACGGCTGAGGAGAGGACTTCAGCTCCGCCTGCAGCCGCGTGGTGAACTCCTCCGGCTCGATCTTTGCATCCTGACACACACACACACACATTTGTGTTCAACATGTAAGAAGTAGAAAGTACAGGTATTTGTGTTCAACATGTAAGAAGTAGAAAGTACAGGTATTTGTGTTCAACATGTAAGAAGTAGAAAGTACAGGTATTTGGGTTCAACATGTGAGAAGTAGAAAGTACAGGTATTTGTGTTCAACATGTAAGAAGTAGAAAGTACAGGTATTTGTGTTCAACATGTAAGAAGTAGAAAGTACAGGTATTTGTGTTCAACATGTAAGAAGTAGAAAGTAAAAAGTGGTCAAAAGATAAGTAGTGGAGTAAAGTACTGATACCAGAAACATGTACTTAAGTACAGTAACAAAGTATTTGTACTCCACTACTTCCCACCTCTGGTCAGTATTAGTGTTATAGTGAGTTGTTCATCACCACCATCATTATATCAGTAATATCAGGTGTTATGAGGAGTTTCTCACCAGCAGGTCCTGGACCAGCGCCTTCACGTTCTTGGAGGTGTCGGGGGACGGCGAGTTGTGAGACGCCAGCTTGATGAGCGTCGCCAGGAAGTTCTTACACTTCTTCACGTTCTCCTGCATCTCCTGAGAGGGTTAGAGAACACTGTGATTACTCTATCATCCAGAGAGAGAACACTGTGATTACTCTATCATCCAGAGAACACTGTGATTACTCTATCATCCAGAGAACACTGTGATTACTCTATCATCCAGAGAGAGAACACTGTGATTACTCTATCATCCAGAGAACACTGTGATTACTCTATCATCCAGAGAGAGAACACTGTGATTACTCTATCATCCAGAGAGAGAACACTGTGATTACTCTATCATCCAGAGAGAGAACACTGTGATTACTCTATCATCCAGAGAACACTGTGATTACTCTATCATCCAGAGAACACTGTGATTACTCTATCATCCAGAGAACACTGATTACTCTATCATCCAGAGAGAACACTGTGATTACTCTATCATCCAGAGAGAACACTGTGATTACTATATCATCCAGAGAACACTGTGATTACTATATCATCCAGAGAACACTGTGATTACTCTATCATCCAGAGAGAGAACACTGTGATTACTCTATCATCCAGAGAGAGAACACTGTGATTACTCTATCATCCAGAGAACACTGTGATTACTCTATCATCCAGAGAACACTGTGATTACTCTATCATCCAGAGAACACTGTGATTACTATATCATCCAGAGAGAGAACACTGTGATTACTCTATCATCCAGAGAACACTGTGATTACTCTATCATCCAGAGAGAGAACACTGTGATTACTCTATCATCCAGAGAGAGAACACTGTGATTACTCTATCATCCAGAGAGAACACTGTGATTACTCTATCATCCAGAGAACACTGTGATTACTCTATCATCCAGAGAACACTGTGATTACTATATCATCCAGAGAGAGAACACTGTGATTACTCTATCATCCAGAGAGAGAACACTGTGATTACTCTATCATCCAGAGAGAGAACACTGTGATTACTCTATCATCCAGAGAGAACACTGTGATTACTCTATCATCCAGAGAACACTGTGATTACTCTATCATCCAGAGAACACTGTGATTACTATATCATCCAGAGAGAACACTGTGATTACTCTATCATCCAGAGAGAACACTGTGATTACTCTATCATCCAGAGAGAACACTGTGATTACTCTATCATCCAGAGAGAACACTGTGATTACTCTATCATCCAGAGAACACTGTGATTACTATATCATCCAGAGAGAGAACACTGTGATTACTCTATCATCCAGAGAACACTGTGATTACTCTATCATCCAGAGAGAGAACACTGTGATTACTCTATCATCCAGAGAGAGAACACTGTGATTACTCTATCATCCAGAGAGAACACTGTGATTACTCTATCATCCAGAGAACACTGTGATTACTCTATCATCCAGAGAACACTGTGATTACTATATCATCCAGAGAGAGAACACTGTGATTACTCTATCATCCAGAGAGAGAACACTGTGATTACTCTATCATCCAGAGAGAACACTGTGATTACTCTATCATCCAGAGAGAGAACACTGTGATTACTCTATCATCCAGAGAGAGAACACTGTGATTACTCTATCATCCAGAGAGAGAACACTGTGATTACTCTATCATCCAGAGAGAACACTGTGATTACTCTATCATCCAGAGAACACTGTGATTACTATATCATCCAGAGAGAGAACACTGTGATTACTCTATCATCCAGAGAACACTGTGATTACTATATCATCCAGAGAGAGAACACTGTGATTACTCTATCATCCAGAGAACACTGTGATTACTCTATCATCCAGAGAACACTGTGATTACTCTATCATCCAGAGAGAACACTGTGATTACTCTATCTATCATCCAGAGAACACTGTGATTACTATATCATCCAGAGAACACTGTGATTACTCTATCATCCAGAGAACACTGTGATTACTCTATCATCCAGAGAGAACACTGTGATTACTCTATCATCCAGAGAACACTGTGATTACTCTATCATCCAGAGAGAGAACACTGTGATTACTCTATCATCCAGAGAGAGAACACTGTGATTACTCTATCATCCAGAGAACACTGTGATTACTCTATCATCCAGAGAGAGAACACTGTGATTACTCTATCATCCAGAGAACACTGTGATTACTCTATCATCCAGAGAGAGAACACTGTGATTACTCTATCATCCAGAGAACACTGTGATTACTCTATCATCCAGAGAGAGAACACTGTGATTACTCTATCATCCAGAGAACACTGTGATTACTCTATCATCCAGAGAGAGAACACTGTGATTACTATATCATCCAGAGAACACTGTGATTACTCTATCATCCAGAGAGAGAACACTGTGATTACTCTATCATCCAGAGAACACTGTGATTACTCTATCATCCAGAGAGAGAACACTGTGATTACTCTATCATCCAGAGAACACTGTGATTACTCTATCATCCAGAGAACACTGTGATTACTATATCATCCAGACATCATAATCAAAAAGCTCCTCCTTCCTGCCGTTGCTACGTTAGTTCAAACGGTAACAACGGACTATTTTTCTTAGCGGATGCATGTCAATTTAAATCAATACAACTATTTTTTAAATCAATAAAAGCATTTCAATTAATAGTGGGAGTCATATCATTACTTAGTTGAGAATGTGGCCGTGTGATAAGCGGGACAATGTGCAGCGACTTGGTCCTTATGAGAACACCTTCATGCAGATCTAGATCCCTCCGCTTGGCGTGGGGCTCCTGATCAGAAGCTGTTCTTTTACCCATAATGACCGCCTCGCTGCACATTGTCCCTCACGTGTATCAGTGAGTTTACCGTGGACAGGAGGGGGCCCCTGGCAGGGGGGGCGGGGGTGCTGAGGGTCGGGGGGGAAGGCTTGTTTCCTGTAATCACTGTGGGGCCCTTCTGAGGGGGGGGCATCTTCACCGTCACCATGGCGCCCCCGGGGGCCACAGAGATTGTCTTCTGTGGAAACATCAAACATTATTACTTTTGTTATGATTTCAAGGATTCAAGGCTCTTATTGGCCCTTCAGCAGAGCTGCAGTCGAGCTGAGGGCCTTCAGCAGAGCTGCAGTCGAGCTGAGGCCCTTCAGCAGAGCTGCAGTCGAGCTGAGGCCCTTCAGCAGAGCTGCAGTCAAGCTGAGGGCCTCCCAGCAGAGCTGCAGTCGAGCTGAGGCCCTTCAGCAGAGCTGCAGTCAAGCTGAGGGCCCTTCAGCAGAGCTGCAGTCGAGCTGAGGGCCTCCCAGCAGAGCTGCAGTCGAGCTGAGGCCCTTCAGCAGAGCTGCAGTCGAGCTGAGGGCCCTCAGGCAGAGCTGCAGTCAAGCTGAGGGCCCTCAGGCAGAGCTGCAGTCGAGCTGAGGGCCCTCCAACAGAGCTGCAGTCAAGCTGAGGGCCCTCAGGCAGAGCTGCAGTCGAGCTGAGGGCCCTCAGGCAGAGCTGCAGTCAAGCTGAGGGCCCTCCAACAGAGCTGCAGTCAAGCTGAGGGCCCTCAGGCAGAGCTGCAGTCAAGCTGAGGGCCCTCAGGCAGAGCTGCAGTCGAGCTGAGGGCCCTCCAACAGAGCTGCAGTCAAGCTGAGGGCCCTCCAGCAGAGCTGCAGTCGAGCTGAGGGCCCCCCAGCAGAGCTGCAGTCGAGCTGAGGGCCCCCCAGCAGAGCTGCAGTCGAGCTGAGGGCCCCTCTGTCTCTGAAGTGTCCTGCTCCAACATGGGTACATCTGCTGATAATTAGCAAAGAGACTCATGGGCCTCTTCCAATATCTAGAAACTGTAATTCTACAACATAATCATTATAGTTATATTGAGAAGGTCCAAGACTTGACACCACAGTGCTATGTTGCTTTCTGAAACCTGACTGATGTTTACATTGGATGTCATTTTTACTTAAAAACACCTTTACCTGCTCACTCACTAGGCGTTCAAGAACCTTCGCCAGAACTGGCAATTTAGAGATGGGTCTATAATTATTTAATAAAGTGGCCTCCCCTCCTTTTAGTAAAGGCAGGACATACGCTGACTTCCATACGGTTGGAATTGCATTTGTGCTGAGGGAGAGGTTAAAAAGAGAAGTAAGAGGTGGAGCAATCAAATCTGCAGCTATCTTTAAAAAGAAAGGTTCTACGTTATCCGGGCCAGCCGGTTTCTTAGGATCTAACTCGTATTAGGGTACCGTGTCGTCATGCGTACACACCTGTACACATGCCCTTCAATGGGCACATGTCGAATGTACAGAAAATAATTACCCTAACTTTTTTTGCCACGGCACACTAAAAATAAGCCGTCGTGCTACACACGTAGACAACGGCTGCAGGATCAAAACTGGCCGAGCATTGGGGTCCCTAGAGCATTCCCCCTCAAAGAAAAAAAACATTACATTTTTGGGATTTTAGCGTAATTCACAAAACGTCCGCCAGAGGGCGTACTGTACATTTCATGCAGAAAAATTGCATCAAATTGACAACATTTATAAAGCAAGCAGAGGGCAGGAAATGTGTGTTTTAAGTGTTGGTTAAAGATGTTTAAATGATACTGAGACTACCAGGGGACAAAAGGGCCCTCCAGCAGAGCTGCAGTCGAGCTGAGGGCCCTCCAGCAGAGCTGCATGTCTCTGAAGTGTCCTGCTCCAAACCCCAAACAGATCCTTGTAGCCCCCCCCCCCCCCTCTCTTCCAGCTGTTACTAAGGACATGTCTCTGAAGTGTCCTGCTCCAAACCCCAAACAGATCCTTGTAGCCCCCCCCCCCCTCTCTTCCAGCTGTTACTAAGGACATGTCTCTGAAGTGTCCTGCTCCAAACCCCAAACAGATCCTTGTAGCCCCCCCCCCCCTCTCTTCCAGCTGTTACTAAGGACATGTCTCTGAAGTGTCCTGCTCCAAACCCCAAACAGATCCTTGTAGCCCCCCCCCCCTCTCTCTTCCAGCTGTTACTAAGGACATGTCTCTGAAGTGTCCTGCTCCAAACCCCAAACAGACCCTTGTAGCCCCCCCCCCCCCTCTCTTCCAGCTGTTACTAAAGAGCTGACTCTGGGTCAGTAGCTTCAGAGAGAGAGTAGATCTCATCAGGAGAACTCTCCCAGCAGAAACTCAGCTAAATGCTGCCGTGATGAAACTCCATATCCTGTTCCAAACCACATGAAGGATTCTCTCTGAAACTCCATATCATGTTCCAAACCACATGAAGGATTCTCTCTGAAACTCCATATCATGTTCCAAACCACATGAAGGATTCTCTCTGAAACTCCATATCATGTTCCAAACCACATGAAGGATTCTCTCTGAAACAGTATGGAGCTCAAACTCTTTCTCTCTCTCAGGTTTACCACAAGGTGACTTCCTTTTGATTTCCTGCTTCTTCACACATGCTCTCTCCAGTACAGGTTAGCTCTGAGTGTTAGCATGCTAATGTAAACACAGACCATATTACTTCCAGAACACGTCTCATTGTTTCTGACAGCAACGTTTCTGATTGGCCCGTGGGTGTAAAGCCCGCCCACATTTTTATGTATAAAAGTCATCAAGTCCGGACCTGGGGGGACAGAGCCTTCTCCCCCCCCCCCCCCCCCCCCATCAGAGACGGACCTGGGGGGACAGAGCCTTCTCCCCCCCCCTCCCCCCCTCCCCCCCTTCAAAACACTCGCCTCTTCAATCTGGCTTTTAATGTGTGATTGTTTTTGTATTGCTTGATTTTAATTAGACTTCAACTGTATTTATTTGTTGTTCTTTTCACTATCTCTGTAAAGCGACTTGGAGCACCTGCAAAAGCACTGACAAAATACATCTATTATTATTATTATCAAAAAGTGCATTTTGCAAAACAGGTGACCTTTAAAGGTATGTGTGATGGAGGAGTTCAACAGGAAGCTCACCTGTACGGTGGAGGTGGACTGAACCATTCTGGTCTGAGCAGGGGAGGCCAGGCGGACGGTCTGAGGAGCCTGAAGATGAGGGGGGGGTCGACACGTTAGACAGCAGCAAAGCATCATGGGAAATGTCTGCACAAGTTCTCTGGTACACATGTGGAGTTGCAGTGAGGACGGATTCCTGTAGTCCGACCCGGAAGATAGACGGGCCCCTCGGTCCAATGGGATTCCTCCATGTGAGGATTACGTCAGGGAATAATCTCAAACAGTTCAGTTCAGCAGGGTAACCTCCACATATCAGTGATCTCCTGAAACACTGTGATGACGCTAAAGCTGGCGACGCTGTGCTCAGCTACTCTCTAACAGGAAGCAGCAACACACGGTACAGCGAGCTGGGCTCAGGTGAACGAGGGAATGCATCAGGTGTGTATTATCTTTGATATAAAGAGACTGTCCTGACCATCAAACACCCAAAGTAAACTTACTAGTGTCAGTGGACTCAACTCTATTAAATACAACACTAAAAAGGAATTATAGGGTTTCCGTTAGACGGTACAAACTGTCCAACTCCAACTGGAGACCCTACATCTCTATCAGAACCCTTTGGGGTCTCAACGTGTCTCTGTGTTCTGGAGACCCTACATCTCTATCAGAACCCTTTGGGGTCTCAACGTGTCTCTGTGTTCTGGAGACCCTACATCTCTATCAGAACCCTTTGGGGTCTCAACGTGTCTCTGTGTTCTGGAGACCCTACATCTCTATCAGAACCCTTTGGGGTCTCAACGTGTCTCTGTGAGCTGGAGACCCTACATCTCTATCAGAACCCTTTGGGGTCTCAACGTGTCTCTGTGAGCTGGAGACCCTACATCTCCATCAGAACCCTTTGGGGTCTCAACGTGTCTCTGTGTTCTGGAGACCCTACATCTCTATCAGAACCCTTTGGGGTCTCAACGTGTCTCTGTGAGCTGGAGACCCTACATCTCTATCAGAACCCTTTGGGGTCTCAACGTGTCTCTGTGTTCTGGAGACCCTACATCTCTATCAGAACCCTTTGGGGTCTCAACGTGTCTCTGTGTTCTGGAGACCCTACATCTCTATCAGAACCCTTTGGGGTCTCAACGTGTCTCTGTGAGCTGGAGACCCTACATCTCTATCAGAACCCTTTGGGGTCTCAACGTGTCTCTGTGAGCTGGAGACCCTACATCTCTATCAGAACCCTTTGGGGTCTCAACGTGTCTCTGTGAGCTGGAGACCCTACATCTCTATCAGAAACCCTTTGGGGTCTCAACGTGTCTCTGTGTTCTGGAGACCCTACATCTCTATCAGAACCCTATGGGGTCACAACGTGTCTCTGTGAGCTGGAGACCCTACATCTCTATCAGAACCCTTTGGGGTCTCAACGTGTCTCTGTGTTCTGGAGACCCTACATCTCTATCAGAACCCTTTGGGGTCTCAACGTGTCTCTGTGAGCTGGAGACCCTACATCTCTATCAGAACCCTTTGGGGTCTCAACGTGTCTCTGTGTTCTGGAGACCCTACATCTCTATCAGAACCCTTTGGGGTCTCAACGTGTCTCTGTGAGCTGGAGACCCTACATCTCTATCAGAACCCTTTGGGGTCTCAACGTGTCTCTGTGAGCTGGAGACCCTACATCTCTATCAGAACCCTTTGGGGTCTCAACGTGTCTCTGTGAGCTGGAGACCCTACATCTCTATCAGAACCTTTTGGGGGTCTCAACGTGTCTCTGTGAGCTGGAGACCCTACATCTCTATCAGAAACCCTTTGGGGTCTCAACGTGTCTCTGTGAGCTGGAGACCCTACATCTCTATCAGAACCCTTTGGGGTCTCAACGTGTCTCTGTGAGCTGGAGACCCTACATCTCTATCAGAAACCCTTTGGGGTCTCAACGTGTCTCTGTGAGCTGGAGACCCTACATCTCTATCAGAACCCTTTGGGGTCTCAACGTGTCTCTGTGAGCTGGAGACCCTACATCTCTATCAGAACCCTTTGGGGTCTCAACGTGTCTCTGTGTTCTGGAGACCCTACATCTCTATCAGAACCCTTTGGGGTCTCAACGTGTCTCTGTGAGCTGGAGACCCTACATCTCTATCAGAACCCTTTGGGGTCTCAACGTGTCTCTGTGAGCTGGAGACCCTACATCTCCATCAGAACCCTTTGGGGTCTCAACATGTCTCTGTGTTCTGGAGACCCTACATCTCTATCAGAACCCTTTGGGGTCTCAACGTGTCTCTGTGAGCTGGAGACCCTACATCTCTATCAGAACCCTTTGGGGTCTCAACGTGTCTCTGTGAGCTGGAGACCCTACATCTCTATCAGAACCCTTTGGGGTCTCAACGTGTCTCTGTGTTCTGGAGACCCTACATCTCTATCAGAACCCTTTGGGGTCTCAACGTGTCTCTGTGTTCTGGAGACCCTACATCTCTATCAGAACCCTTTGGGGTCTCAACGTGTCTCTGTGAGCTGGAGACCCTACATCTCTATCAGAACCCTTTGGGGTCTCAACGTGTCTCTGTGAGCTGGAGACCCTACATCTCTATCAGAACCCTTTGGGGTCTCAACGTGTCTCTGTGAGCTGGAGACCCTACATCTCTATCAGAACCCTTTGGGGTCTCAACGTGTCTCTGTGTTCTGGAGACCCTACATCTCTATCAGAACCCTATGGGGTCACAACGTGTCTCTGTGAGCTGGAGACCCTACATCTCTATCAGAACCCTTTGGGGTCTCAACGTGTCTCTGTGTTCTGGAGACCCTACATCTCTATCAGAACCCTTTGGGGTCTCAACGTGTCTCTGTGAGCTGGAGACCCTACATCTCTATCAGAACCCTTTGGGGTCTCAACGTGTCTCTGTGTTCTGGAGACCCTACATCTCTATCAGAACCCTTTGGGGTCTCAACGTGTCTCTGTGAGCTGGAGACCCTACATCTCTATCAGAACCCTTTGGGGTCTCAACGTGTCTCTGTGAGCTGGAGACCCTACATCTCTATCAGAACCCTTTGGGGTCTCAACGTGTCTCTGTGAGCTGGAGACCCTACATCTCTATCAGAACCTTTTGGGGTCTCAACGTGTCTCTGTGAGCTGGAGACCCTACATCTCTATCAGAACCCTTTGGGGTCTCAACGTGTCTCTGTGAGCTGGAGACCCTACATCTCTATCAGAACCCTTTGGGGTCTCAACGTGTCTCTGTGAGCTGGAGACCCTACATCTCTATCAGAACCCTTTGGGGTCTCAACGTGTCTCTGTGAGCTGGAGACCCTACATCTCTATCAGAACCCTTTGGGGTCTCAACGTGTCTCTGTGAGCTGGAGACCCTACATCTCTATCAGAACCCTTTGGGGTCTCAACGTGTCTCTGTGTTCTGGAGACCCTACATCTCTATCAGAACCCTTTGGGGTCTCAACGTGTCTCTGTGAGCTGGAGACCCTACATCTCTATCAGAACCCTTTGGGGTCTCAACGTGTCTCTGTGAGCTGGAGACCCTACATCTCCATCAGAACCCTTTGGGGTCTCAACGTGTCTGTGTTCTGGAGACCCTACATCTCTATCAGAACCCTTTGGGGTCTCAACGTGTCTCTGTGAGCTGGAGACCCTACATCTCTATCAGAACCTTTTGGGGTCTCAACGTGTCTCTGTGAGCTGGAGACCCTACATCTCTATCAGAACCCTTTGGGGTCTCAACATGTCTCTGTGTTCTGGAGACCCTACATCTCTATCAGAACCCTTTGGGGTCTCAACGTGTCTCTGTGAGCTGGAGACCCTACATCTCTATCAGAACCCTTTGGGGTCTCAACGTGTCTCTGTGAGCTGGAGACCCTACATCTCTATCAGAACCCTTTGGGGTCTCAACGTGTCTCTGTGTTCTGGAGACCCTACATCTCTATCAGAACCCTTTGGGGTCTCAACGTGTCTCTGTGAGCTGGAGACCCTACATCTCTATCAGAACCCTTTGGGGTCTCAACGTGTCTCTGTGTTCTGGAGACCCTACATCTCTATCAGAACCCTTTGGGGTCTCAACGTGTCTCTGTGTTCTAGAGACCCTACATCTCTATCAGAACCCTTTGGGGTCTCAACGTGTCTCTGTGAGCTGGAGACCCTACATCTCTATCAGAACCCTTTGGGGTCTCAACGTGTCTCTGTGTTCTGGAGACCCTACATCTCTATCAGAACCCTTTGGGGTCTCAACGTGTCTCTGTGAGCTGGAGACCCTACATCTCTATCAGAACCCTTTGGGGTCTCAACGTGTCTCTGTGTTCTGGAGACCCTACATCTCTATCAGAACCCTTTGGGGTCTCAACGTGTCTCTGTGTTCTGGAGACCCTACATCTCTATCAGAACCCTTTGGGGTCTCAACGTGTCTCTGTGTTCTGGAGACCCTACATCTCTATCAGAACCCTTTGGGGTCTCAACGTGTCTCTGTGTTCTGGAGACCCTACATCTCTATCAGAACCCTTTGGGGTCTCAACGTGTCTCTGTGTGCTGGAGACCCTACATCTCTATCAGAACCCTTTGGGGTCTCAACGTGTCTCTGTGTTCTGGAGACCCTACATCTCTATCAGAACCCTTTGGGGTCTCAACGTGTCTCTGTGTTCTGGAGACCCTACATCTCTATCAGAACCCTTTGGGGTCTCAACGTGTCTCTGTGAGCTGGAGACCCTACATCTCTATCAGAACCCTTTGGGGTCTCAACGTGTCTCTGTGAGCTGGAGACCCTACATCTCTATCAGAACCCTTTGGGGTCTCAACGTGTCTCTGTGAGCTGGAGACCCTACATCTCCATCAGAACCCTTTGGGGTCTCAACGTGTCTCTGTGTTCTGGAGACCCTACATCTCTATCAGAACCCTTTGGGGTCTCAACGTGTCTCTGTGAGCTGGAGACCCTACATCTCTATCAGAACCCTTTGGGGTCTCAACGTGTCTCTGTGTTCTGGAGACCCTACATCTCTATCAGAACCCTTTGGGGTCTCAACGTGTCTCTGTGTTCTGGAGACCCTACATCTCTATCAGAACCCTTTGGGGTCTCAACGTGTCTCTGTGAGCTGGAGACCCTACATCTCTATCAGAACCCTTTGGGGTCTCAACGTGTCTCTGTGAGCTGGAGACCCTACATCTCTATCAGAACCCTTTGGGGTCTCAACGTGTCTCTGTGAGCTGGAGACCCTACATCTCTATCAGAACCCTTTGGGGTCTCAACGTGTCTCTGTGTTCTGGAGACCCTACATCTCTATCAGAACCCTATGGGGTCACAACGTGTCTCTGTGAGCTGGAGACCCTACATCTCTATCAGAACCCTTTGGGGTCTCAACGTGTCTCTGTGTTCTGGAGACCCTACATCTCTATCAGAACCCTTTGGGGGTCTCAACGTGTCTCTGTGAGCTGGAGACCCTACATCTCTATCAGAACCCTTTGGGGTCTCAACGTGTCTCTGTGTTCTGGAGACCCTACATCTCTATCAGAACCCTTTGGGGTCTCAACGTGTCTCTGTGAGCTGGAGACCCTACATCTCTATCAGAACCCTTTGGGGTCTCAACGTGTCTCTGTGAGCTGGAGACCCTACATCTCTATCAGAACCCTTTGGGGGTCTCAACGTGTCTCTGTGAGCTGGAGACCCTACATCTCTATCAGAACCTTTTGGGGTCTCAACGTGTCTCTGTGAGCTGGAGACCCTACATCTCTATCAGAACCCTTTGGGGTCTCAACGTGTCTCTGTGAGCTGGAGACCCTACATCTCTATCAGAACCCTTTGGGGTCTCAACGTGTCTCTGTGAGCTGGAGACCCTACATCTCTATCAGAACCCTTTGGGGTCTCAACGTGTCTCTGTGAGCTGGAGACCCTACATCTCTATCAGAACCCTTGGGGTCTCAACGTGTCTCTGTGAGCTGGAGACCCTACATCTCTATCAGAACCCTTTGGGGTCTCAACGTGTCTCTGTGTTCTGGAGACCCTACATCTCTATCAGAACCCTTTGGGGTCTCAACGTGTCTCTGTGAGCTGGAGACCCTACATCTCTATCAGAACCCTTTGGGGTCTCAACGTGTCTCTGTGAGCTGGAGACCCTACATCTCCATCAGAACCCTTTGGGGTCTCACGTGTCTGTGTTCTGGAGACCCTACATCTCTATCAGAACCCTTTGGGGTCTCAACGTGTCTCTGTGAGCTGGAGACCCTACATCTCTATCAGAACCTTTGGGGTCTCAACGTGTCTCTGTGAGCTGGAGACCCTACATCTCTATCAGAACCCTTTGGGGTCTCAACATGTCTCTGTGTTCTGGAGACCCTACATCTCTATCAGAACCCTTTGGGGTCTCAACGTGTCTCTGTGAGCTGGAGACCCTACATCTCTATCAGAACCCTTTGGGGTCTCAACGTGTCTCTGTGAGCTGGAGACCCTACATCTCTATCAGAACCCTTTGGGGTCTCAACGTGTCTCTGTGTTCTGGAGACCCTACATCTCTATCAGAACCCTTTGGGGTCTCAACGTGTCTCTGTGTGCTGGAGACCCTACATCTCTATCAGAACCCTTTGGGGTCTCAACGTGTCTCTGTGAGCTGGAGACCCTACATCTCTATCAGAACCCTTTGGGGTCTCAACGTGTCTCTGTGAGCTGGAGACCCTACATCTCTATCAGAACCCTTTGGGGTCTCAACGTGTCTCTGTGAGCTGGAGACCCTACATCTCTATCAGAACCCTTTGGGGTCTCAACGTGTCTCTGTGTTCTGGAGACCCTACATCTCTATCAGAACCCTTTGGGGTCTCAACGTGTCTCTCTATGGGGTCACAACGTGTCTCTGTGAGCTGGAGACCCTACATCTCTATCAGAACCCTTTGGGGTCTCAAACGTGTCTCTGTGTTCTGGAGACCCTACATCTCTATCAGAACCCTTTGGGGTCTCAACGTGTCTCTGTGAGCTGGAGACCCTACATCTCTATCAGAACCCTTTGGGGTCTCAACGTGTCTCTGTGTTCTGGAGACCCTACATCTCTATCAGAACCCTTTGGGGTCTCAACGTGTCTCTGTGAGCTGGAGACCCTACATCTCTATCAGAACCCTTTGGGGTCTCAACGTGTCTCTGTGAGCTGGAGACCCTACATCTCTATCAGAACCCTTTGGGGTCTCAACGTGTCTCTGTGAGCTGGAGACCCTACATCTCTATCAGAACCTTTTGGGGTCTCAACGTGTCTCTGTGAGCTGGAGACCCTACATCTCTATCAGAACCCTTTGGGGTCTCAACGTGTCTCTGTGAGCTGGAGACCCTACATCTCTATCAGAACCCTTTGGGGTCTCAACGTGTCTCTGTGAGCTGGAGACCCTACATCTCTATCAGAACCCTTTGGGGTCTCAACGTGTCTCTGTGAGCTGGAGACCCTACATCTCTATCAGAACCCTTTGGGGTCTCAACGTGTCTCTGTGAGCTGGAGACCCTACATCTCTATCAGAACCCTTTGGGGTCTCAACGTGTCTCTGTGTTCTGGAGACCCTACATCTCTATCAGAAACCCTTTGGGGTCTCAACGTGTCTCTGTGAGCTGGAGACCCTACATCTCTATCAGAACCCTTTGGGGTCTCAACGTGTCTCTGTGAGCTGGAGACCCTACATCTCCATCAGAACCCTTTGGGGTCTCAACGTGTCTGTGTTCTGGAGACCCTACATCTCTATCAGAACCCTTTGGGGTCTCAACGTGTCTCTGTGAGCTGGAGACCCTACAATCTCTATCAGAACCTTTTGGGGTCTCAACGTGTCTCTGTGAGCTGGAGACCCTACATCTCTATCAGAACCCTTTGGGGTCTCAACATGTCTCTGTGTTCTGGAGACCCTACATCTCTATCAGAACCCTTTGGGGTCTCAACGTGTCTCTGTGAGCTGGAGACCCTACATCTCTATCAGAACCCTTTGGGGTCTCAACGTGTCTCTGTGAGCTGGAGACCCTACATCTCTATCAGAACCCTTTGGGGTCTCAACGTGTCTCTGTGTTCTGGAGACCCTACATCTCTATCAGAACCCTTTGGGGTCTCAACGTGTCTCTGTGAGCTGGAGACCCTACATCTCTATCAGAACCCTTTGGGGTCTCAACGTGTCTCTGTGTTCTGGAGACCCTACATCTCTATCAGAACCCTTTGGGGTCTCAACGTGTCTCTGTGTTCTAGAGACCCTACATCTCTATCAGAACCCTTTGGGGTCTCAACGTGTCTCTGTGAGCTGGAGACCCTACATCTCTATCAGAACCCTTTGGGGTCTCAACGTGTCTCTGTGTTCTGGAGACCCTACATCTCTATCAGAACCCTTTGGGGTCCTCAACGTGTCTCTGTGAGCTGGAGACCCTACATCTCTATCAGAACCCTTTGGGGTCTCAACGTGTCTCTGTGTTCTGGAGACCCTACATCTCTATCAGAACCCTTTGGGGTCTCAACGTGTCTCTGTGTTCTGGAGACCCTACATCTCTATCAGAACCCTTTGGGGTCTCAACGTGTCTCTGTGTTCTGGAGACCCTACATCTCTATCAGAACCCTTTGGGGTCTCAACGTGTCTCTGTGTTCTAGAGACCCTACATCTCTATCAGAACCCTTTGGGGTCTCAACGTGTCTCTGTGAGCTGGAGACCCTACATCTCTATCAGAAACCCTTTGGGGTCTCAACGTGTCTCTGTGTTCTGGAGACCCTACATCTCTATCAGAACCCTTTGGGGTCTCAACGTGTCTCTGTGTTCTGGAGACCCTACATCTCTATCAGAACCCTTTGGGGTCTCAACGTGTCTCTGTGAGCTGGAGACCCTACATCTCTATCAGAACCCTTTGGGGTCTCAACGTGTCTCTGTGTTCTGGAGACCCTACATCTCTATCAGAACCCTTTGGGGTCTCAACGTGTCTCTGTGTTCTAGAGACCCTACATCTCTATCAGAACCCTTTGGGGTCTCAACGTGTCTCTGTGAGCTGGAGACCCTACATCTCTATCAGAACCCTTTGGGGTCTCAACGTGTCTCTGTGAGCTGGAGACCCTACATCTCTATCAGAACCCTTTGGGGTCTCAACGTGTCTCTGTGAGCTGGAGACCCAACATCTCTATCAGAACCCTTTGGGGTCTCAACGTGTCTCTGTGAGCTGCTGACAGACCATAGTATGACTCTAAGGGTATTAAAGGTATTGAACGTACCGTGGAGGCGGTGGTGACCCGGACCGTGGTCCCTGCAGTGGGCGTGGCCGGTCTATGGATGATGGCCCCGCCCCCCTGCTGGGTCTTGGCCTGAGCCTGAGCCAGAACCTGCTGAGGAACCATCACCAGCTGACCCGTCTCCGTACGAACCAGAACCATCCCTGAGGACAGGAGGCAGGACAAACAGTCAATCAGTTAACAAATCAATCAATCAGTCAATCAGTTAACAAACCAATCAATCGATCAGTCAGTCAAACAATCAGTCAACCAAGCAATCAATCAGTCAACCAATCAGTCAACCAATCAGTCAATCAATCAGTCAATCAATCAACCAATAAGTCAATCAACCAACCAATCAATCAATCAACCAATAAGTCAATCAACCAACCAACCAACCAGTCAACCAATAAGTCAATCAACCAACCAATAAGTCAATCAACCAACCAACCAACCAGTCAACCAATCAATCAGTCAACCAATCAGTCAATCAGTCAATCAACCAATAAGTCAATCAACCAACCAATCACTCAACCAATCAGTCAATCAATCAACCAATAAGTCAATCAACCAACCAATACGTCAATCAACCAACCAATCAGTCAATCAATCAGTCAACCAATCAATCAGTCAATCAGTCAATCAACCAATAAGTCAATCAACCAACCAGTCAACCAATCACTCAACCAATCAGTCAATCAATCAATCAACCAATAAGTCAATCAACCAATAAGTCAATCAACCAACCAATCAGTCAATCAATCAATCAATCAACCAATCAGTCAACCAATCAGTAGGCCTGTCACGATAATTAATTTAGTTGGGCGATACATTTTCCTGGAAATGGTTGCGATAAATGATAATATTGTCGGCACCATTTTAGACCACTGACATAATGATAATATATATAATAATAATTCAAATACATAAATTATATATAATAAATAAAACCAATGAATTAAATTATAAAAATGTAATTAAATCAAACACAACCAAAACAATCAATGAAATAGACTCAGGCTGGAAAACAGAGCTCTCTCTATCTATCTATATATATATATATATATATATATATATTATATATATATATATATATATATTTATATATATATATATATATATATATATATATATATATATATATATATATATAGTATATATATATATATATATATATATCTCTATATATATATATATATATATATATATATATATATATACACATGCTGTGTGTGAGCCCCTCACAGCCCGCCTGGCTGTGTGTGAGCCCCTCACAGCCCGCCTGGCTGTGAGTGAGCCCCTCACAGCGCGCCTGGCTGTGAGTGAGCCCCTCACAGCGCGCCTGGCTGTGAGTGAGCCCCTCACAGCGCGCCTGGCTGTGTGTGAGCCCCTCACAGCGCGCCTGGCTGTGTGTGAGCCCCTCACAGCGCGCCTGGCTGTGTGTGAGCCCCTCACAAGCGCGCCTGGCTGTGTGTGAGCCCCTCACAGCGCGCCTGGCTGTGTGTGAGCCCCTCACAGCGCGCCTGGCTGTGTGTGAGCCCCTCACAGCGCGCCTGGCTGTGTGTGAGCCCCTCACAGCCCGCCTGGCTGTGTGTGAGCCCCTCACAGCGCGCCTGGCTGTGTGTGAGCCCCTCACAGCGCGCCTGGCTGTGTGTGAGCCCCTCACAGCGCGCCTGGCTGTGTGTGAGCCCCTCACAGCGCGCCTGGCTGTGTGTGAGCCCCTCACCAGCCGCCTGGCTGTGTGTGAGCCCCTCACAGCCCGCGCCTGGGCTGTGTGTGAGCCCCTCACAGCGCCCTGGCTGTGTGTGAGCCCCCTCACAGCGCGCCTGGCTGGTGTGAGCCCCTCACAGCGCGCCTGGCTGTGTGTGAGCCCCCTCACAGCAGCGCCTGGCTGTGTGTGAGCCCCTCACAGCGCGCCTGGCTGTGTGTGAGCCCCTCACAGCGCGCCTGGCTGTGTGTGAGCCCCTCACAGCGCGCCTGGACTGTGTGTGAGCCCCCTCACAGCGCGCCTGGCTGTGTGTGAGCCCCTCCACAGCGCCGCCTGGCTGTGTGTGAGCCCCTCACAGCGCGCTGGCTTTGTGTGAGCCCCTCACAGCGCGCCTGGCTGTGTGTGAGCCCCTCACAGCGCGCCTGGCTAGTTGTGTGAGCCCCTCACAGCGCGCCTGGCTGTGTGTGAGCCCCTCACAGCGCGCCTGGCTGTGGTGTGATGCCCCTCACAGCGCGCCTGGCTGT